CCAACGGACAAGTTCTAACGTTCCCGCCGACCCCGGTGAGAGCCAATGAGATCGATAAGCAGTCTATCCTTACCCATTATGCTAGAGCGTTCGACGACACAGTGTTAAAACCCATGCAAGGACCCCCCATGTCTATCGAACTAGTTAAAGATGCCGTTCCTTGCAAACGCTACCGGGCATACAACGTTCCCTTTCACTGGAGAGACCCCGTCAAAACTCAACTCGATACCATGTTGGCGAAAGGGATAATCGAACAGGTACCCGTCGGCGAAGCCATCGATTGGTGCCATCCTATGGTGTCGTCCCGAAAAAAGGCTCATCACAAGTCACTATACCAAATGATCTCGCCGGTGCCATCATTGGGAAAGGTGGTCAACGCATCAGGAAGATCCGGCGCGAGTCTGGTGCGGGGATCACCATAGATGAGTCTCAACCTGGTAGCAACGAACGGGTCATCACCATCTCTAGCACGCCCCAGCAGATCCAGATGGCCCAGTACCTCTTGCAGCAAAATGTAAGAGAACATTCCTTCCGGAAGCGATACAATCGCAACGCCAAACCACTCTCACATTTGGAAGTGGGAGCAATAGTCATTGTCCAGGATCACCGCACAAAACATTGGACCCTCCTTGCTGAGGTTCTCGAACAACTTCCACGCGGTCGCAGCTACCTCATCCGGACCGACGCCGGACGCCTTCTTCGCCGTAATCGCAGATTCTTACGACCTTTCGTGCCTCCACCGTACACCACCCCACCCAACTCAGCTCAACATCAGCAGACCTTATCCCCTCGAACCCGAGAACCGAACCCGCGTTATAGCAACTACGTTGGATCGGTCCCAAGTCCCAATCTCCAGGGGGGGCATGAGATAAGAGGATGCCAGCGGGCGACGCTGGCACGGGACGCCGGGAATTCTGCGAGCTGGCCAGCCGGCCTGCGCGCGCACCGGGGGCTGCGCGCGCACTTTTCGAACACCGCCTGATGTCGCGGGTTGTTTACCGCGCGTCTCTACAACCGACGGCGGTTCCTTCCATTATATAATACTCTAGGCGCTGGTGGAGTAAAAACTGTACTCCATCTGCCTCTTATAATTGTATGTAATTTTTGGACACTTATTAAAATATAAATTATTAATTTATAGTTCTCACTGCAGCTCGAACCTTTACCCTAACGCGGTAGAACACGACCCTAGTACAGTAGAACATCCCTGTAAAGGACACCTAATTGCAGAGCCAAAGTGTCCTTTAGTGAGAGGTGTTCTCTTACCGGAGAGTTGCTAAATTGTAAAAATGGTAATTTTGCAAATGAAAACTCTCCTTTGTGGAGAGGTGTCAGCTAGCGGGGTGTCCGCTAAAGAGAGGTTGTACTGTATTACGTATATTTCACTATAATGTAAAATATTTTAGAAATTTGATCTCCTACGCAAACACTAATACCATATTTGAGTTCAAGACATTAAATTCATATAAAATAAGCTCCATATTCCACCACCAAAACAACTGTTCTCCCTAGTATAATTATATATAGATGATATAAATATACGTGTGTGATGATATTTGAGGCTGATTACCTAATTATAACATATTTAATAAAATTTATATTGATTTGTGCCAGATTTTGCTTATAATTATAAGGAGGTTTGAGATAGGAATCATGGATTTAGGATTTCTTCCTCCTTTTAGGTTATTATAAATCGCTGAAAAAATTTCTACTCCAAGCAGTTTCGAGGTTGAAATCGTGTACCACAGACAGACAGATATATTTATATAGATGACTAGAACTAAATGAACTCCGTCTCCAATAAGAGACCACCTCCAGAAAGAAAAACTAGCGTTTTATCTAAGATTTTTAACCATCTCTCATAAGTTTTTTTTTAGGACAAGGCGCTTTGAAATGTAATACCTCATGTTATTCTTCAGTCTTAAAAAAAAAATACAATAATTTTAAAAGAATCATCTTTGGCGCTTTTCTGTAGATCTTTGTTGCAAAGAGTAATTTGAATTTGGCCTTGTGTGTGGAAGGATACCTAAGAAAACATGGGAATACTAAGAAGAAGAATATGAACCAAATGCCTCAAGGACTGGAGTAAGCTACATGCTGGTAAAGAGGAAGGAAGGTCCAAGATTGAACTCCATGTTGGTTATGATGTTGTTGTTGTTGTCGTGTCCAAAGAAGAGTCTCAAATGTCTCCATGCATCTCCAACACAGCAGCAGCAATATCCACTATCTTGGGTGTGTAAAGCTGCTGCTCTGGGTCTAAGTCAATTTTCTGCAAGGCTGCGGCCATTGCTGGGCATGAGAATATGTGAGTAGCTGTTAGTTCCACACCAGGACAGTTGTTGCATGCTCTATAGGTTCTTGTGCCATCTGGATGTATTGCCATTCCTTTATAGTGTTTTGTTATAAGTCTTGTTATAGTTTTTGTCAGTTTTCTCTCAGAGTTTATTTCACATATCGTTGGTTATGATAATTATTAGGTAAAAAACATTTCCCATTGATTCCTAGCAGGCTATATATCAGATTAGAGCTGTATCTAGCTGGAATAACAATTACTTCTCTCACTTGCCAACCAACATTTCCAACTAACACGATATAATGATGGATCATCAGTATATGGAGTTTTAATTTTGTTTTCCCCCGAAAAATATTTGAATATCCACAAGGAATCCAAATTTATCTAAATTCCCAACGTCAACAATCATATGTTCAAATACAATTGCTATATGCCGATTGACAAGAAAGTTATAAGCTGGGATTTCTCTCTTCAGAATCAGATTTATATGAAAAAATCTTCTCCAAGGAGATAAAGTTCAAATCACGAGTTTTTTTTACAAATTATCATTTTTATCATCATTTTTATCCAAAAGATTGCCAAGAAGAGCCACTTCAATGAAAGAATGGAAGAAAATGGCTGCAACTTAAATACAAGTTTTATTTAAGTTTAACTGAGAAAGCACATGCTGCCCCTAGATCATCCAGTCTTTGACTGGTTTAAATGAAAAAATGAATATTTGAATTTCCTAAGTAAGATTGGTTTTATCTAAATTAAACAAGCTTGATGTCCCGAATTTTCATTGCAGAGACTTCTCTTTTCAGAATCGGTGCTAAAGACTTCTCGAAATATTTTTAATTTTTACTCAAGAAGAAAGATCTATTCAAAAAGCCTTTTTTTTTTTTCAAAGCTAGTTTTGTGATATAGCTTATCGCGATTAAAGACAAAATTTGTCAATACTGGAAAAATATGGCTGTAATGGACAAGCCAATCTACCCAGGAGATTTTCCAGAAATTCCACTTCCATGTTGAACTCAAGATAGGAAGATATCAAGCTAATATCAAGTTTGGTTGTCTACGACGACACATTCTGCCCCTCGACCATCGCAGCCCTTGATTCTGGTCTCAGATTTCTTAAGGAAACCTCTGACGCTCTAAAACACTCGATTTATCTGATCATAGAACCAACTAAGTCAATGACTTCACCCACAATGCTTTTATAATTAAGACAATTATAGTTCTTCAAATAAAAGACACTACGGCCAGTAAATCTTTTTATTGTCTCGACGTTTCGGCAAAAATCTTTTGTCCTCGTCAGGAGCGAACACAAATTAAAACATTTGGCAAAGTGTTAGAAATTATTCTTTATTATAATAAGAAGAATAATTTCTAAAGCTTTGCCAAATGTTTTAATTTGTGTTTGCTCCTGACGAGGACAAAATATTTTTGTCGAAACGTCGAGACAATAAAAAGATTTACTGGCCGTAGTGTCTTTTATTTGAAGAACTATGAATGCCACCGGCCAGGTAACCTCAATCTTTACGTTAAGACAATATCACTTATTGGAAGAAATTCATTTAGTGATTAAGTTATAGGTTATCTAAAAGAATATAAGTTTTAAAAGTGATATATGAGATATCTTTAAACTATTTATTATTTTAAATTATTATTTTTATTGTACATATTACCAGACACTTATTTATTTTGTACACAGCTCTTTTCTCGTTTTTTTCTCTCCTTCTCATCATATGACTATTCTATTCACGGCCTAAAATTATTATATATATATATGTATAGACAAATGTAAAGGCATACATATATGACAGCGCAAATGACCCTAGGGGGACATAGCGCTTTAAATATCTATATATATATATATAAATGAATGTATATGTGTGTGTCTGTCCTTTATGCCTGACCAAACCACTCATTGGAACGCCATGAAACTTTGGCAAGTTATTTAGTATAGTACTGGGAAGGTTTCTGGCAAATAAAATTTTTGAAATAACTTTTTACTTTAAAATAATCAAGATAAATATTCTAATTTATCTGTTATAATTCAACAATCTGCTCTAAATATTATCATGATGATACGATGATTTTGTAATGTAGAAAATTAGGAAAGACAAAATTCAGGATGACACGGCAATTTATTTGAGACAAGAATAATGATACAATTCCAAGACAAGATACTATTCCTTTAACTTCCAATTACCGAGGGAATCAATTAATATTGATTTTATTCAACTTATCGAGTATTTTTCAAGGGACCGGGAAAAAATGTTCAATTTATCGAGAGATTCGTTAGACAAACCTTTACTCGGGTAAAACCCGGGCGAAGCCGGGTACGTCCGCTAGTATACAATAAAATAAAAAATATATTATTTTAAATTTATAATTTTAATTGCCATCTATCGATAAAATTTGTAACAAATAAATTTACTGGCCATATATATATCTCTTCTCTATCTCTATCTCTATATCTCTATTATCTCTATTATATATATAAAAGTCAATTTCTGTCTGTCTGTCTGTTTCGCGATAAACTCAAAAACTACTGAACCAATTGGTACCAAATTTTGCATGTCGCTTTTTATAAACCTGAGGAAAATTTTCGGCTGCATTTTGATTAGTATTTTTGGCTATTTCTTTTTTTCATTTGAAGAACTTTTTTTACGCGGACTAATCCGGAATGGAATGAATACCTAAATATGGCCATTTTTTTAAAGCCTCGGTGGTTCAGTGGTAGAATGCTCGCCTGCCACGCGGGCGGCCAGGGTTCGATTCCCGGCCGATGCATTTTTTTTTAACAATTTTTAAAACTCATTTATATTATATCTTCTATTCTCTATATAAAAGTCAATTTCTATCTGTCTGTCTGTTTCAGGATAAACTCAAAAACTACTGAACTAATTGGTACCAAATTTTGCATGTCGCTTTTTATAAACCTGAGGAAAATTTTCGGCTGCATTTTGATTAGTATTTTTGGCTATTTCTTTTTTTCATTTGAAGAACTTTTTTTTACGCGGACTAATCCGGAATGGAATGAATACCTAAATATGGCCATTTTTTTAAAGCATCGGTGGTTCAGTGGTAGAAAGCTCGCCTGCCACGCGGGCGGCCAGGGTTCGATTCCCGGCCGATGCATTTTTTTTTAACAATTTTTAAAACTCATTTATATTATATATTCTATTCTCTCTATATAAAAGTCAATTTCTGTCTGTCTGTCTGTTTCGCGATAAACTCAAAAACTACTGAACTAATTGGTACCAAATTTTGCATGTCGCTTTTTATAAACCTGAGGAAAATTTTCGGCTGCATTTTGATTAGTATTTTTGGCTATTTCTTTTTTTCATTTGAAGAACTTTTTTTTACGCGGACTAATCCGGAATGGAATGAATACCTAAATATGGCCATTTTTTTAAAGCATCGGTGGTTCAGTGGTAGAATGCTCGCCTGCCACGCGGGCGGCCAGGGTTCGATTCCCGGCCGATGCATTTTTTTAAACAATTTTTAAAACTCATTTATATTATATCTTCTATATATATAAAAATGAATGTTTGTATGTTTGTTTGTTGGTTTGTATGTCCGGTATACAAATTCGCAGTAGTTCACTAATTCAAACCAAAATTTCCATACATAGATAAAAAAATACGGGGAAGACGATAGGCTATTTTAAAAAATATATAAATCAATTATTAAAACTATATATTATTGGGAGTACAAATAGGTTTTGAGGGATTTGCAAAAGAAACCACAACAAATAGTATATAAATAGCATCGGACCTTGTAAGGTTTCATGTTAAGGCTTCATCATTTCCCCAAAAAAATCAGAAGAAGTCTTTTCCCTCAAGTGTAAGGAACTTTTTTTTTGGTGCTCTAACCATGTCAACCTTTTTGCCAACAAAACACAATTTGCGGGAAGCGCTGCTTTTTTGTTTTAATTTGAAGAAAAGTGCAACTGATGGACATCAATTGCTGTGTGAGGCATATGGTAAACATGCTCTATCAATAAAATCATGTGAGTACTGGTTTCGGCGTTTCAAAAGTGGCGATTTTGACACCAGAGACAAAGAACGCGGAGGGAGGCCAATAAAGTTTGAAGACGCTGAGTTGGAGGCTTTATTGGACGAAGATTCAAGCCAAACTCAAGAGGAGCTCGCTGAAACGTTGGAAGTGACTCAACAAGCGATTTCGAACCGTCTCAAGATTATGGGTATGGTGCAAAAACAAGGAAATTGGGTTCCATATGAACTCAAGCCAGGAAACATCGAGCGCCGTATTTGCACGTGCGAACTACTGCTAAAAAGACAAAATCGGAAGGGTTTTTTGTATCGAATCGTGAAGGGGGACGAAAAGTGGATTCACTACGACAACCCAATGCGCAGAAAATCGTGGGTTAAGCCCGGTCATGCATCAACTTCAACGGCCAAACCGAGTATTCATGGCAAGAAGCTAATGCTGTGCATCTGGTGGGATCAGCTCGGAGTGATCTACTATGAGCTACTTCAGCCTAACGAAACCATCACTGGAGAACGTTACCAACAACAATTGATGCGATTAAGCCGAGCATTGAAGATCAAACGCCCACTATATGCCAAAAGACATGACAAGGTGATCTATCAGCACGACAACGCTCGGCCACATGTTGCAAAAGTTGTCAAGGAGACTTCGGAGGCGCTTCAATGGGATGTCCTACCCCAACCGCCGTTTTCACCAGACATTGCTCCTTCAGACTACCACATGTTCCGTTCGATGACACATGGCCTGGCCGAGCAGCACTTCACTTCTTACGAAGAGGCGAAAAATTGGGTCAATGTTTGGATCGCCTCAAAAAACGAGGAATTTTTTTCGACACGGAATCCGTATGCTGCCTGAAAGATGGGAAAAAGTCGTAGCTAAAGATGGACAATACTTTGAATGAAATATATTGTACTGATTTCTCTGAATAAAGCTTCGAATTTAAAAAAAAAATCCCTCAAAACTTATTTGTACTCCTAATATTAGTCAGAAAATGATGATGACGATATTGCTGTATCATGTAAGATTATCAGATACAAAATTATATCGGGAAAAATTCCAAAAAGCAGAGACCACGGGTGAAACCAGCTCATTATTTTGTACGCAGGAACAAAATTCTAACAGAAAAACATTCATTCAGGCAGAAAACAAAAGCCAGATCATCTTTCTATAAAAATATCGCTTCTCAGACACAAAGTTTGGAGCGGGACGTTTCACAAGAGTGACATCCACGCCGCCAATTTATAATTGTAACGAATAGTATTTAAATAAAAACATTTAATCGGGTAAAACCCGGGCGTTGCCCGGGTCATTCGGCTAGTATATATATATGTTTCTTTTCAATATTATTATCTCTACAGACCTTACTGCAATGAAATTATCATTCAAATATTATTGAAAAGAAACACATTATTTTACTCGAGTAAATATTCTGCATTATGAACAAAACTAAATAGATCCACAATCTCGAATGTACAAACTATTTTTTATTATACATAGCTCTACTCAACTTTAAATTATTTTTAAAATATCTCGATATATAGAGGTACTTTATACGTGGATAAAGGTTACAATTCCAATATATAAAACTCATATTATTATTATCCTAATAAACATAAAGAATGTGAACGTTAAGATTTTCAATCTAGGACATTCCAATAGGTGGAACCATTAGAGAGGTGAATATATCAGGTTTAGAATTGAGATACAAAGACAAGAGAGATTGAGATTGAAACTACTTTATTTCAAAGTCCATATAAGATTATATAAGGTTAAATACAGAATAAATATAAATATGAATAAATAACACTGATAGACAAAACTTAAGGAAGTTGTACCTTATAGCATATATATATCGGGATTCAGAAAATATCTCTCAGAGTTATTGTTTGAATCCCGATATATATATGCTATAAGGTACAACTTCCTTAAGTTTTGTCTATCAGTGTAATATTATATAATGATAAATATATGAATAAATATAAATAAATAGATAAAAATAATTGATAAATATACATATATATAAATATATAAACAAGGTTTTCAGAGAGAGAGAGAGATTGAGATTGAGATTGAAACCGATTTATTACAATGTTCATATATAAGATTATATATGGTTATAATTACAAAATTGAATAAATACAAATATAAATAAGATTACATAATGATAAATATAGGAATAAATAGATAAAAAAATAGTTGATAAATATACATATATATATAATATATATAAAAGTCGTCATTGGTGGCGCCTACTGCAGGAAAGACTCCGCCACCGATGGACTGCGAGAGTTCTCTCCTACAGAGTGGGCAGGTCTAGGTGCTGGCTGGCGTTGCCCACCTCAAGACCAAGATGGTACTTGTAGATGGTAGCCTTCGCCACACTTGTTAGTTTCATTGCCTCGGGCTGGAGGCCGACACCGAAGAGCCAGATCTGCAGATCCAGGGGCACTTCGCAGGAGGCGAACACCTCCCGGAGCAGGGGTCGCACGGCTCGGCAACTCCAATATCTGTGGGTCTGCGACCCGTAACGTATATATACTAAAGTGATATTTCAATGTAAAATATTTATAAGGAATGGTGGAAAGAAGATGTGGTATTTAAAATGACATACGCGAATAGGATTTAAAAATGGCAAAGCTCCATCTATCGGGGTAAATAGCATTTAAACGTTTGATTTCCTATTATTCCTGACAAGTGGCCACATACATCTTGATTCAGCCAGATATCACCTATACAGGTCTAACTGGTGACAGCGTGGTGCCAATAGTAATTCAGATAGACATGGAAGTTCTGTAGGGATAAAGCGAGTTATGTATAGGTGAGATATAACAAAATAGTGAGTCTACTTCGGCTATGTAAGCCATATGGAGAATCTGCTTATATATATTCCCACTTATTGTTTTTTGATGAAAACATGTCTAATTTTTGTAAGATAACATTAAGGCCTAATACAACTGATTACTCCATCAATTCAACAACAAACAACAAAATGCTTACTGCAAATAATTCGCTAACAATACCTCACTTGTATCCTTCTTTGGATTTTATATTGAAGAACTTACTTTATATTCTGATTTTAGACAACCCTTGATCCATCCATGTATCATACTGTGAAGATACCTGATAATTATGTATATTTCTGTCAATTCTAATATTTATTGTGACAAAAGTTACTTTGTACGGGTTAACACAAGATACAATATACTAGGGCCTACAGTAAGAGTAACTTAAACACAGAAAAATCGTGGACTCAAAAGTACAACAAAAAAAAGTAAATAATAAATCACAATTTGTTAAATCAAATAAAAAAAACAGTACTTAGCTTTATTGCTGCTTAGGTAGGGATCGGACCGGGGTTACACAGGTATGCGAGGAGATTGCCAGTCAGGGATATAGCACGCAGAGAACACTTTAAGCGTCTCCACACGATAATCCACAACACTCTTCTCGACCCATACCATAGCCCCCTTTATACACAAACATGGCCACATTCGTCCAATGAGAAGCCAGGAGAGATTTGTTCACAAACAAACGAAAACAAAAATTCTTTCCACTAATCTCAGGATAAGATATGATAAGATTGCAAATATTTGTCAATATAATTTGACAATTGTTCTTTAATAAAAAAAATGTTTGTTCTCATATAGAGAATCTGATTGCTCTATGATGGTTTAGGTATAACTCAACTCGAAACCACAACTAAAACCCAAAGAATCATCCTTGAAGCAATAGAAACTTAAAATTTCCATAGTGTGTTTGGCCGTGTGTGGCCTGTT